GCATAGCTCTGGCAGCTAGTGCAGCGAGAGGAGCCTATTGCCCAACAGATGAACGTTGCTAAACATTTGCAGGTCCACAAAGTGCCAAGCACACATTGCTTGGCAAATAGGCAAGATTCAACCTTGGAATTCCCAGAAGATGGGCACAATCCCTACTGCTGTGTCAAGCAAGACAGAAAGGACGTGCCCAGTAGATTAAAGGCATCTTCAGAGGTTACAAATTCAGGTTCAGAGACTGCTGCTCTCCCTGTCCCTGCAGTGTCCCGCACAAGAGCGTTTCTGCGTGCTCGCGGGGATGACACGCTCTGCTTATACCCCCCCAGTCTCTGCAGCCTCCTGCACAGCATGTTTGCTTTTGTTTAAAATACAGATACTTTGAGTCCCGTAACTTCTAACCTCACAACCTGTTCTGTTGGTTTTGGCTGCCGTGCCTGACTCAGGAACAGCGTGGAGGATGTTAGCAACAGCCACCAGAGGAACTTCCCAGGAGCCCTGGCTGGCAATAACATGCAATCCAGGTGAGCGTCCCTTGAAGCCCAAGGAAATGAAGGTAGGAACTCTGTTTCTAAAGGGCCTCTCGGTGTCCACCCCTTTAATTTGTGCCAGGCAGGCTGCCTGATGCTGGCAGGAACTTTTAGGCACAACTCTGGTTTTAATGAAGCGCGCAATCACATCGTAAACCCTGTGAATGAGTTGATCCAGCTCCTAGGGAATCTCACTGCCTCTGCAGGGAAAAAGGGCCAGCTCACCCGAGGCAGCAGTTTAAGCTGCACCACGCTCACCCCTTTCCTCTTCCTGCACGCCAGGAATGAAGGCTGCTAATGAGGAGGGATGTTGGCTCCTTACCGATGGTTGTTTCACAGAACTTCTCTTCTGCCACTTCGCTGGCAATGTTGGCCCCCATGAGGACGCTCATCTCTATTCCCAGTTTCTCATGGATAATGTCTGAGATCAGCCTCAGCCCATCCGGCCCTTCATCCACCCCCTGGGAGACAACCAGGGACAGAGATGAGCATCTACCTCCCCATGCCCCAAGCCCGTCGTTCCCCGTGCTGCAACACTCCAACTCATCCCGACAGCCCCCCCAGCGCTCAGCTGCACCCCGCTCCTCACAGCACTTGAGATCCCCCACACGCTTCTCCTCCAAATCCCCACAAAGACTCTCCCCCCACTTCCCGCTCTCCCCATAACCCTGGAGCCCAGTTTCTGCTCCAAAACCCCAGGATTCCCTTTGCAGCCTCTCCGAGCCGGGTTGTTTCCAGCTGAGCCCCCTTGGCCCAGCGCCCCAGCGAGCTGCCCGGGCAGCGCTCCTCCTGCTCACACCTTGATGAGCGACACCCCAACAGCATCTTTCTTCACGTGGCCCTTGAGCTGGTCACAGACTTTGCCGATAAACTGATGGGGCACCACGAACAGCAGGATGTCAGCCCCGGCACAGGCTTTCAGCAGGTCTGGCTCTGCTACCTGAAGAGAGTGTGACTGTCATGAGGGACTGGGGCCTGTAGTTGTGCACCGAGCATGTCCTGAACCCAGGACAAGGGGAGCAGGAGCTTGAGAGCAACTGCTGAGGGTTCCCTGTAAGGGAAGGAAGGGCGATGTCACTGCCCTGAGGTCCCCTTCCAGGGCTGGCAGGGCAAGGGGCTGCAGCAGAGCAGGGTGAAAGCAGCTTGAGCTGGTCCCATGGAAGCGGTGCAGAGAGCCGAGGCCCTTGTGGGGCCACCTCAGCAGGCCAGTGCCAGCCGAGGGGCTGAGCGGGCAGCTGTGGGGCAGCCGGCCCCACGGGATCTTTGTGCGCTGCCCCTGCCAGCTCAGAGGCAGCCACATGGCCTCAAGCCCAGCCTGTGGGATGCCAGAGCGGGGGCAGAGGTGGGCAGCGAGAGCAGCCAGGGCTGCAGCTCATCCAAGCACAGATGAAGGTCACTGGGAGGGTGTAACCGAGTCCCGTGCAGCCCGGTGCATTCCCTACCTTCGCACACCCGGTGCCCGGGACACCAGGGCTCCAGCAGCCTCC